CATCAGTGGCCGCTTTGCGGGGTGCGACTTGCTGTGTCGTTGCAGGGTCAGTCTGGCCGTGTCTGTCGCTGCAGACGTCCATTTGGGCTCTGCATCTCTTGGTGTGTGCATTTGAGCAGTCTGTGAGGATAGCCAATGGGAGAAGGAAACAGGTAAACGTTTAAGCGAAGGACAGATCTCGCGATTCGTTGCTGATCCGCTCTCTCCTCCGTCTCTGGTCAGTGTGACGGTGTCAGCTTGCTGTTGCCGAGGTCATGCAAGTCCGATCCAGCGTCGAACTTCCGATCCAGCGTCGAACTTCTCACCCCCGGCCTGTTGACGGCCGCGGCTGTGTTGGCTGCTCTCCGGCTCATAGCTGAGGCGCTCGCATTGGTCGGCTGCGGCCACGCCCTTCCCCCGGCCGTCGTATCGGCCGCCGCAATCACAGCGGCCCTGGTGGCGATGGTCCACCAGCGCCTCGGTACGCGCAGACGAGAGACGAGATCTAGTCATGATGACACGCACACACGCAGATCCCTGGATGTGTCTTCGTGGACTCGCTGTATGGTTGCAGGCCGCTCGTTGGCCAAGGACCTCATTCTGCTCTGGAGGCTCAGCAACAGCGTTTTTCAAGCAGTGGCCTCAAGCAGCACCAGCGATAGCTCACCACCAGCTTCAAGTTCGACGTCAGATCTCCAGCTTCGTGTTGGAGGCGAGCCGCTGACCCTCTCAGCAGCTCTCGTGGCCCACATCGCTCAGCGCTACCCCGACTCGGCGTTGCACATGCTGCTATCTCGCGGAGAGCGTGTATTTGAGCTTGAACACGATGCATTTGCCCACTGGGTGAAAGAGCTGGAGCTCGAGATGGACAAGACCGACCGCAGCCGCGTGAACAACGTCAACAGAGTCAAGGATGCCCTCCTAATGCAGCCCATCCCTCTCGAACCCGCCGGCATGCCGCTGGTGAGCTACGGAAGTGCAAGCTACGACTACACGAAGGGCGAGCTGACCGTGATGGTGCCCCATACGACCGAGCCGCGCGATGTCAAGATCGACTTCCACTACCCCAAGCAGGGCGATGAGGGCGTGCCGTTTATGCTGTAGGTGGTGCCGGAGGTCACGGGTGACAAAGCGGCGTGTGCTGAGGAGGGGGGCAAGGTGGAGATCGCAATGCTGGGCCACTACAGTAGTCAAAGGTCTCCCTCGCCGATCAAGAAGGCACCGACCTCTTACTCATCGGCCGCACCGACGTGAATCGGTCGGCCATCTACCTGCACAGTGGGGCGTCGACCATTCACGCCATGACCCCTCCACTGGAGGGGCTCCAGCGTATTCGGGTGACGTGCAGGCCTTTCTTCCCGAAGGACGCCAACACGCTGCCCGTCACGACGACCTTCCAGTTCAAGTACTGGCCGGACGCTGATCCCCTCAGATCAGTGCAGAATCCAACACGATCCACTGGAAATGAGCGTAAGCTTGACAGGGCTTCCACTGGTGGATGGCAGCTTCAGTGGTGTCTGCGTTTGCTCGTTCAGACGGTGCTGTCAGAGAGCAGGCAGACAACGAGGATTCAGACGAATGATATCGCGAGCACCGGTGAAGACACTGTACACAGTACGATATCACGACCTGATATGAAGCATGCATGGGGGCTGGACGGGTGAATGCATCCATCGTCCTTGGGTGATGTGTGTGTGTCTTCCAGGCTGTCTGTCGAGTGCACCTCAAGACACCACCGTCGGCAGCGTTGCCGCCGACACTTGTTTGCTGAATGCATGGAGGGAGGGATGTGTGTGGCGGCTGGTGCGGCCCGTCCCACACACACCAAGGCACAGCACAGCTCGTGGGCCGACTGACTAAGTGGAGGCTATCAGTGTGTGTATGTCTGTGTGTGGGCTGTGTGGGGTGGGGGAGCGGCCTTTGGACTGACGTCGCTGGCAGTGACACAGCTTTCGGAGAGGCAGACAGGTGTGTGAGGGCATGAGGGAGAAGTGCGTGTGTGAGCGTTTCACGCAGTCTCTGCGTGCGTGGTGTATTCATCGTGTTGTGATGTTGTGGTTTTGTCGGCTTTCAAGTTTCTGTTCACGAGCAAGGTTCACTCCTGGAGTGGATTGTGTGTTGTGTGTTGTATGTTGGGTGAACAGGTGAATGTGCGTGTTCGATCGGGTAGCTGCTCGCTCCTTCACAGAGGTCATTTTGAGAGTCGGCCCGGATGGCTGACTTAACTCAGATTCAGTCATTTTTGACAGTGCACAGAGTGATCGGGCTGGTCTTCCTTTGCATACGTCACTGTGTGTGCGTGCGGTACTGTTCCGTGGTGTGTGTCTGGAGCGGCATCGGCCGATTGATGCAGCCCTTGCCGTGCAGCCAGCCTGCCAGCATCCATGAATCCATGCTCACTCCCCAAAACGATCAGACACACCGCCAGGATGACGCTATTGTATCACCCGCATCTGCTCTGCTGTGCTGTGCTGCTGTGTCGATGTGGTGGCTGGGTTGATTTCACGGCTTCATGGATTCCTGTCTACATGTGTGTTGTTTCATGTCATCGAAGTGAATTGGACTCGTCTACACGTGCTGCACGTCAATTGTCTTTGCAATGAAGGCCAATTCATCATCATCTTGCAGACCAAATCTCCCCGATCACACAACGGCCAACACGAACACGATTTCACGCATAACACCGAAAGAGGAACACGCTCACACCACCCCAGCACCTATCACGACCCCAGCACAGCCTTGAATTTGCCCTGCATGCAGCCACACACACCACGCACAGACGTCTGTCAGTGTGTTGTGTTGTGTTGTATGTCACAATTGCCTGGAGGCCGGGGAGGCTGATAGCCCTTGATGAGCAGACGGTCGGGCTTGGAGCCCTTGGAGATCGTCTTGGACGCCTGTGTGTGTGGGCGAGACAGCAACATTCAAATGAACGGATGGTGGCGTGTGTGCGTGTGTACGGACGTATTCGCGATGGCCTGGTTTACTTTCTCCCAGGCACACACTGCAGCCGTCCTCATGCTCACTCCGCACCTTCAGACCTGACAGACAGACACACACACACACAGACGATCATGTGAATGAGTCGGACATCGTGTCGATGGACGGCTGGATGGATGGACCGGCTGGTGAATGGGCGGGCGGTGGGGCGGGTGGGGGTGATCGGACTGCCGTGAGTGCCCGTGTGTGAGTGAGTGTGAACGGCCGTGTACATTCGTCTGTCTGTCTGTCTGTCTGCACATCCACAAGACATTCAAGAAGTGAAAAGCATCAACCGTCTGAGGTTGCTTTGAACAACACACTTGATCATCGACCTGAGCCAACCTGACAGACAGACCGACCGACCGCCACACAACCAACTCCTCCGTTTCTGGCCTGCACACACACACAGACAGGTCGGCACACATCGATGTCTGGCCTCCTCCCTTCCTACCTGCCTGTGTGTGCGTGTGTGTCTATACCGTAAGATGAGCACCGGCGGTTCCCACATACTGCACCGTCATGCCGCTTGCCGCATAACGAGTTGAACAGCCGCCAATTGCTCGTCGGTGAGAGCCGTCCCCAAGAGCCTCTTCGACAGAGTGAGCACGTCGGATGACAGCACGGACGCCATCAGACACCGGTAAAGCCGAAACCAGCTGATGAGTGCACCAGCTGAAACACCATCTGCAATTGTGAGCGATGGCGTCGCCTTCAGACAAAATAGCCTTCAGAGGATGAAGCGCGTCTGCAGCTCCCGGACAGCACACAGGATGTCACAAACGGCTTTATGGACACAGCAGCAGTTGGAGTGACGACGGAGGCCTCATGACACCCATCAAAAGTCATGGCTCGTAGATCTCGCCCGTGTAACCCGGTCTCCGCTCTAACTCCTTGCTGCGACACTTATGGAGGTAGACACAACAGATTTTTGAACAAGTTGTTGCTACCGAAGCCTGACTATCCTTCTGTCGCTCGGACGGCCGCCTGTCCGTTCTCTGACCGCTCGTTTTGCGTAATGGAGCCGTCTCCGCCGTCCGTGGGGTGCGATGTATTGTGGAGGAGAAGGA